CGTATCTACAAGGTGGTTTGTAGTATCACTTCTAACTGGTTATCTGTCAGAGTTCGGTTTTAGTAGATATACCTTTTCGCGCAATGACGGACTAAATCGGCACAATGTTTGAGTGTTTACATCGTGCGCAGGAAGATAAAACTGTGAGCTCAGTAAATGCTGATATTGGAGCAGAATCCTGTTCTGTAGGGCAAGAGCACCCCAGCAGCTTCACGAAAATTTCCCAATCACTGTTATATTGCAGAAGAATCTCTTTTAATCAGCAATTCGTTCACAAATAAATTTAAAGTTCTCTTTTGCTTGGCGATATCGAAATGTTTTTTTTTGTTGTTGTTGTTTCATTTCGCTTTCAGTCTACTTCCTCCGCCAAATGCTCATTTGGCCTGGCAGTAAATTCATTCGATAGCCTACAAGATTAACCTATGCAGGAGTCTGCGTGTTGCGCTTGGCTTTCATTTGATGTAGATAAAGTTTCTTCATAACAAGAGTTTTGATGGAAAGGACACTCTCCAGTGCCATCTTCTCCAGTCCCTCAAAATAATCGCAGGCGAATTTAATTCAAGGTCCCACAAGCAATTAAATTCGACGATAGCGCGACTTCTAAAACGAATTAAACTCGTCTGGTAAATTAAATTCGTCCTAGACGTTTTATCCGTCTTGGTACACTCGCTACCACGGGTTGATAAACGTGTTTCGTTACGCAATAGGCTCGCGGGGTGTTGGTAGAATTCGTGACGGTTACGCAGACCTTCGAAGGTGTTTCGGGCTTGAATAAGTTTTGCGAATTCTCCCAGCCCCACACGCGGTAAAATGAAGGAATGGGAGAAAGAGTCTTTTATGGCATAACATTTTATCTGTGTTTATCCATGCCTACCGGGTACAATTAGGTTGTTTGTTGCAACCCACGCATTTTGATAAGGGACAGCCTTAAACGACGTTTCATTAGAAAAGACTTAAAAACAAACAAGCAAACTAACAAACGAATGAAAAAACAAACAAGACTCAACCCGCTGAACTTCACTGGAGCTGTCACGCAACTACAATAGCGTGACGGAGAAACTTTGAGGTTCTCATCCATCCTCTATACAACGTGTTCTTTAGGTTACTTTCATTTCAATCTCCTCTTTTTTTATTTTTAACGATGTAACGCAGTGCAGTCGATTCAATTTTATTTCTAGCAATGGCAGAAAGCAACCTCTCAACAACGGGAGAAGAACTGGAGGTGAAAAATGAGTTTCCAGCTACAGGTAAGAAAAGGCAACAAGGAAAGAGTTCTTTATGGTAACTTTTTACTGTTTGTTGACTATCTACACCTCAATTCTGGTGTACAATTTTTTGGATCACTTCGACTTGAAGGTTTTAGGAATCCACTGAATACACCAGTATTAGAACGCTAGTTCTAATTGTACATAGTTGTGATCACTAACAAAGTTGAAATATCTTCTCTGTAATTTCATCGACAGAGGAAAGTCAAGTTACGTCAAGTGACACTGAGCTGGATGAAGACGATAACCATTTAAGAGGTGAGAAGAGATTCTTTCAAAGAAGTCCCGGTGAAGTTTTTTCCCATTTACATCAAAATTTGCGTATGTTCTATGAATAAGTTTTTGAAACAGCTAAAGATTGTTTCTTCAAATTTCAGACTTTTGTTACCGGTTAAATAAAAAATAAAAGAAAAAACAAGTTGCTGCTCGATCAGATCGAGCAAAATGCGTAGACATCATTAATTATTCATAAGCAATAAAGCGACAAATTTGAAGGCGACTTAGCTTTGAAGAGCCCTAAATTAAAGAAGAATGGGTCAAAATTAGCCTATTAGGCTTTGTAAAACTCGGTTTTTCTGAGTTTTAGAAGTGCTTACTTGTAAATCAACACACAATGTTTTGGAGATTAACGATGTAAGTACAATTTGCACCTAAAATGGAGGATATTTGCGTATAACAATTATTATCCTTTTGCACTTGAAAATATTGTATATTTAGTCATTTTTAATATGAAAGTCATATTCGGCAAGAGAGAGCTGTTAGTACCCGTAGACCCGTCAAAGTCGAGTTTTGAAAAATTTGCAAACGGATAACTTTTTGAGGCCGCCAAAAGGAAAGCATTTACGCTAACACATTTTTGTCCCTTATCGTTCAGTACGTTTGGCAGAAATTTTACGCAATTTGAGAATTCTACAGAGAAGAGGAGGCATTTTGTCTGGGCCGTATCGCCTGTTTTGGTCCTCTAAATATTTCACGCCTCTTTAGAAAGTTATGTCAACACCAGGCCCACGCTGTAAACCACCAGCTAACAAAATGTGGAACCGCTGACTTTCACAACAGGCAAAATGGCACTTCGAGGGAAAGTGATACTTTCCCAATAAAATTTCTCCCGTTAGCCTCTTCGAGTATGTTCTCAATAGAAATTACATGTATGAGAAAAACCAAATGATAAAGAGAAAAAGAAAAAAAAAAACACTTTTTTTCCAGCGCACTTTTCTGAACGATGGTAAAACCACGAACTCTTGTCACTCTCAGACTCTCAGTGCGATGTTCTTTTTTTTCGTTATCAGAACATTCACAAGTTTCAATCTTTTTCGGTCCTGGCTTTGCTTTGCTTTATGCAGTAACTTATGGGGTTTTATATTCTAACATGAAATTTTAGAATACGTAACCTAGGTGTAAAAAGATCAATGGAAAGTCTCTGGACCTAAATGTAAACCGATCAGACTTCATGTGGTTGTAGCCAAGCTACAGCTAAAACTCCAAATAACTTGCATATTAAAACAAAGTTCACAGATAAACTCTCCTGAAGGGCGTTTGTAAACAAAGTTGAGTTAAGATAGGATCTCCCGGTGAAACTTGTGATATTTTGGAACACGTAAGTCAGGTGTAAAGGGAGTTTGGAAAGCCTCTCGACCTAAATGTATATTGATAAACTTGTGGTAATAGCCAAGCTACAGCCCAGACTCCCTGCAGCTTGCACACAAACAAAATGTACAGATATTAAACTTTTCTGGTTGTTTTTTCTCATAGCTCTAAGTTCCTTTAACCTAAAAGTTCGTTTGGATATTTAAAGTTGGCATCATCCGTCAAGGATCGTATCACTTATTACTAAATCATTAACATGAAAACGTTGTGTTTTCAGAAATAGTGAAAGTATGTCTGGAGAAAGGTAACAAAGAATACAGACAAGGAGAAGCCAATAACGCGATAAACTCCTACACGGAAGGACTTCAAGTGAACTGCAAAGATAAACGGCTGAACGCCAAGCTTTACAGCAACAGGGCAACAGCTCATTTCCGTTTGGGTAACGATTTCATATGTAAACATATAAATCTGCCGTGCAGCGTTACAAGATAACGGAATACACAATCTGCATCAAGAAAAGAAAAAATTGAGCAAATGCAGAAAAGTAGCGTAAAAACATAAATCGCCCTGTAGCGGATGAAAATTAAGCAAAGGAATGATCCTCGTTACATTTTAAGCAATAGTAATTTTTTGAGGCTTCTTTGTTGCAATTCCATATGGTGACCACTTTTTTAAGCCTTATTTCTTGAATCTCACAGCAAACTACGTGGAATGTCTCGATGATGCAACAGTTGCAGTTGAATTGGAACCCTCTTTAATCAAAGCTATCAAGAAAGGTGGGTTTTTCAGACATCAGCCATCAACATTCTATTCTCGGATTTCGTCAAAAGATGATTGTGTGGTTTGTGGCAGGTAACTGCACCCCAAGTGTCAATTGTATCTGGTGTGTCAATGTCTGTGATGTGGGTAAAAAGCATGAGGAAATGTCAATAAGCTCTGAAATACCACCGCCTGTTTAGTTCACGTTGTTGAGCGCCGGAGGTCGAGGGTTCAAGCCCTAGACTGGACCATCTCCCTGAGTCTTAAAATATCTGAGGACAATGTGCTGCCGCCTAAGCTGTGACATCTGCAAATGATTTGATATTCTAGTCCCGGATAAGAACGGAAAACCGTAAGCCCCGTTTGCATCTTCTCTGTATCTCAAGGAGGCACCTGAAAAATTCCCTTTCAAAAGTTGTAAACTGCTCAATGCCGTCTGCCCGAAAAGTTCCCCGAAAAGTGCTGAAAAGCGCATAATAGCACATTAAAATGAAGAATGCGCGTGTAGTTCTTCTACAAGTTCAAATTGCCCTTATTATCACAATTTTTGTTCCCAGCTAAATGGGAAATTAATTCCATTTTATCGATACATTTATACTTTAACAGTGATGAGTTACTTCGTACCACCAATTATTCTCTCCTTTTCAGGAGCCAGAGCTTGTGTCGAACTTTGCTTGTATAAAGAAGCAAGGAACTGGTTGCATATGGGATTGGCCGTATCCTTTAACGAATGTTTCAATGCGAGTAATATTTCAAGGGAAATCAATACGTTCCGGAGAGATTCTTCAACATATAATGCAAGCAATGTTCTCTTATAGTGTACCGAGCAGTTTAAAGAAGCTAAAATATTCTTAAAGAGTTCTTTCGACTATTCCACGAAACCTTACTTGAAAGAAGAGGCTCATTTTTGTCTTCAGACGAGCATCACCATGACGACCGAACCTAAACCGATAAATGCGCTTCAGAGCTACTTAAAAACTCTCCAATAACTTGAAATCAAATTTGTACAAAAGCCCACGTTCGAATTATCATTCCAGTTTAAAGGTTCTATCTAATATTTTCGCAAATCTGCTCATTATTTATCGACCCTTGACACGTTTTAAGATTGAAAATGACAACAAACGTCTGCTTCAATTACTAAGGAAAAGTAATGCCGAACTAACAGCCATAGCAAATAGTTTTTCCAATCTCAGCAATCCTTATCAAGGACAAGGAAAGTTTAAAACAGCTATCAAGTACCATCAGCGTCAACTAGAAATTGCTAAAGAAGTGGGAGATAAGACCGAAGAGAGAAAAAACTATTGTATTCTCGGAAACGCTTATGAAGGTCTAGGACAGTTCAAAACAGCCATCCAGTACCATCAACGTCATCTAGAAATTGCTAAAGAAGTGGGAGACAAGGCTGGAGAGGGAGGAAGTTATTGCAATCTCGGCAACGCTTATCAAGGTCTAGGACAGTTCAAAACAGCCATCCAGTACCATCAACGTGATCTAGAAATTGCTAAAGAAGTGGGAGACAAGGCCGGAGAGGGAATCAGTTATGGCAATCTCGGCAACGCTTATCAAGGTCTAGGAAAGTTCAAAACAGCCATCCAGTACCATCAACGTCATCTAGAAATTGCTAAAGAAGTAGGAGACAAGGCTGGAGAGGGAATCAGTTATGGCAATCTCGGCAACGCTTATCAAGGTCTAGGACAGTTCAAAACAGCCATCCAGTACCATCAACGTCATCTAGAAATTGCTAAAGAAGTGGGAGACAAAGCCGGAGAGGGAAAAAGTTATAGCGGTTTCGGCAACGCTTATCGAGGTCTAGGACAGTTCAAAACAGCCATCCAGTACCATCAACGTCATCTAGAAATTGCTAAAGAAGTGAGAGACAAGGCCGGAGAGGGAAGAAGTTATAGCGGTTTCGGCAACGCTTATCGAGGTCTAGGACAGTTCAAAACAGCCATCCAGTACCATCAACGTGATCTAGAAATTGCTAAAGAAGTAGGAGACAAGGCCAGAGAGGGAAGAAGTTATGGCAGTCTCGGCAAGGCTTATCAAGGTCTGGGACACTTCAAAAGAGCCATCCAGTACCATCAACGTCACCTAGAAATTGCTGAAGAAGTGGGAGACAAGGCCGGAGAGGGAATCAGTTATGGCAATCTAGGCAACGCTTATCACAGTCTAGGACAGTTCAAAACAGCCATCCAGTACCATGAACGTCATCTAGAAATTGCTAAGGAGGTGGGAGACAAGGCCGGAGAGGGAATCAGTTATGGCGGTTTCGGCAACGCTTATCGAGGTCTAGGACAGTTCAAAACAGCCATCCAGTACCATCAACGTCATCTAGAAATTGCTAAAGAAGTGGGAGACAAGGCCGGAGAGGGAATCAGTTATAGCGGTTTCGGCAACGCTTATCGAGGTCTAGGACAGTTCAAAACAGCCATCCAGTACCATCAACGTCATCTAGAAATTGCTAAAGAAGTGGGAGACAAGGCCGGAGAGGGAAGAAGTTATTGCAATCTCGGCAACGCTTATCAAGGTCTAGGACAGTTCAAAACAGCCATCCAGTACCATCAACGTCATCTAGAAATTGCTAAAGAAGTGGGAGACAAGGCCGGAGAGGGAATCAGTTATAACAGTTTCGGCAACGCTTATCGAGGTCTAGGACAGTTCAAAACAGCCATCCAGTACCATCAACGTCATCTAGAAATTTCAAGGCCGGAGACAGTTATTATTTCGGCAACGCTTATCGAGGTCTAGGACAGTTCAAAATAGCCATCCAGTACCATCAACGTCATCTAGAAATTGCTAAAGAAGTGGGAGACAAGGCTGGAGAGGGAATCAGTTATGGCAATCTCGGCAACGCTTATAAAGGTCTAGGACAGTTCAAAACAGCCATCCAGTACCATCAACGTCATCTAGAAATTGCTAAAGAAGTGGGAGACAAGGCCGGAGAGGGAATCAGTTATAGCAATCTCGGCAACGCTTATCAAGGTCTAGGACAGTTCAAAACAGCCATCCAGTACCATCAACGTCATCTAGAAATTGCTAAAGAAGTGGGAGACAAGGCCGGAGAGGGAATCAGTTATAGCGGTTTCGGCAACGCTTATCGAGGTCTAGGACAGTTCAAAACAGCCATCCAGTACCATCAACGTCATCTAGAAATTGCTAAAGAAGTGGGAGACAAGGCCGGAGAGGGAATCAGTTATTGCAATCTCGGCAACGCTTATCAAGGTCTAGGACAGTTCAAAACAGCCATCCAGTACCATCAACGTCATCTAGAAATTGCTAAAGAAGTAGGAGACAAGGCCGGAGAGGGAATCAGTTATGGCAGTCTCGGCAACGCTTATCGAGGTCTAGGACAGTTCAAAACAGCCATCCAGTACCATCAACGTCATCTAGAAATTGCTAAAGAAGTGGGAGACAAGGCCGGAGAGGGAATCAGTTATGGCAATCTCGGCAACGCTTATCACAGTCTAGGACAGTTCAAAACAGCCATCCAGTACCATCAACGTCATCTAGAAATTGCTAAAGAAGTGGGAGACAAGGCCGGAGAGGGAATCAGTTATAGCGGTTTCGGCAACGCTTATCGAGGTCTAGGACAGTTCAAAAGAGCCATCCAGTACCATCAACGTCATCTAGAAATTGCTAAAGAAGTAGGAGACAAGGCCGGAGAGGGAAGAAGTTATTGCAATCTCGGCAACGCTTATCAAGGTCTAGGACAGTTCAAAACAGCCATCCAGTACCATCAACGTCATCTAGAAATTGCTAAAGAAGTGGGAGACAAGGCCGGAGAGGGAATCAGTTATGGCAATCTCGGCAACGTTTATCACAGTCTAGGACAGTTCAAAACAGCCATCCAGTACCATCAACGTGATCTAGAAATTGCTAAAGAAGTAGGAGACAAGGCCGGAGAGGGAATCAGTTATTGCAATCTCGGCAATGTTTATCAACGTCTAAGACAGTTCAATACAGCCATCCAATACCATCAACGTGGTCTAGAAATTGCTATAGAAGTGGGAAACAAGTATGGAGAGGGAATAAGTTATTGCCTTCTCGGCAGGATTCATAAGGCTCAAAGAGAGTTTAAAACAGCTATTGAATGTTTTCAACGTCACCTAGAAATATCCAAAGAAGTGGGGGATACGCCTGGAGAGGCTTGCTCACTCTGTTCCCTTGGAAGCAGTTTTGAGTGTCAAAGAAATCTTATGATGGCCTTTGACTGCTATTACTCGAGTGTAGAATTGTATGATGATATCAGGGCCAGTCTTCAACTCAACGATCAGTGGAAGGTTTGTTATCGTAATCAGCACCAAGCAGCCTACAAAGGTTTGTGGCGTATAAATCTCAATCGAGGTCAAGTTGTGAAGGCTCTTCTTGCCACAGAGAAAGGACGTGCTCAAGCTCTAAGAGATCTCATGGTCACAAAATATCAGCCTGGCGATTCTTTGACACCCAGCGCATCCCGCATTTCTCTGAGGTGGGTTCCATTGAGCACAGTTTTCATAGCTATTAATGGACCATGCGTTTACTTCTGGGTTTGCCTCAGTGAAGATAATATCCAGATGAGAGAAGTGCACGTGAACAAATACAAGTATGAGGATGAATTGAAATTTTTCATCCAGTTACTGACCAAAACTGCTCTTAAGGAGATCGGTACAAGAGGTACTGTTACCATCGAAAATCCTCCGCTTGACTCGCCGACAGATGATGAAGTGGCCAATGACGTGATCCGAGTTGATGTGAGGCACTCCCAATCAAGTGCTTTAAAGAAGCTGTATGACATCATCGTTACTCCTATTGCTGACCTGATCGAAGGGAACGACGAGATCACATTCGTTCCTGAAGGTCCATTTTGCCTTGTACCTTATGCAGCGTTGCTGGACTCCAACTCATCATATCTAAGTGATTCTTTCAAAATTCGTGTGCTTCCCTCTCTGACGACATTGCAACTAATTCATGATTGTACAGCTGACTTTCACATGAAGACTGGTGCATTGCTTGTCGGCGACCCATGTTTCAAACATATCATCTACGAGGGAACACTTTTGGTGCAACTTCCAGGCGCAAGGAAAGAAGTGGAGATGATCGGACGTTTCCTCAATGTCTCCCCTCTCACTGGAGAAATGGCAACAAAAGATGAAGTGTTAAAACGAATATCATCAGTGGCCTTAGTTCACATAGCGGCGCACGGTAAAATGGAAACTGGAGAAGTTATCCTGGCACCAAACACCACAAGAGATAACCCTCAGCCGCAAGAGAAAGACTATCTACTGACGATGAAAGATGTCATAGAAGCTGGGTTGCGAGCACGTCTGGTTGTACTTAGCTGCTGTCACACTGCTCGTGGGGAGGTGATGGCCGAGGGTGTGGTCGGCATGGCCCGTGCACTTTTGGGTGCCGGTGCCAGATCTGTTGTGGTAACCTTGTGGGCGATTGGCGACGAGGGAACCCTGGAGTTCATGAGTTTCTTCTACTATGAACTTGCCAAAGGCAAGAAGGCAAGCGAAGCTCTCAATCAGGCCATGAAGCGTATGAGAGAAATTGAAAAGTTCAAGGAGGTGATTTACTGGGCACCATTTGTACTCATTGGTGACGAAGTCAGCCTGGATTTCAAGGAGATTTAGAGCAGTAAGTAATAATTCTGTTAATACATTCTATTCAATACAAAGTTGCATTAAATCAAAATCTTTGCTCATATGTCAGCAGTCATACTTGTGTGTTATTTTCCTTTCCGTTGGGTTACCAATTTATTTTTCTCTCCGCAAACTGAGATGCAGTACAATCAAGTGGACACATTTACGATGATAACATTCTAATTTGGAAACATGATAGGAGTAAAATAGCAAAGTTCTTTTAAAGCAATCCTGTTGTGCAGTGTATCGTTTCATGTGCTAAGAAATATTTCATGGCAACTCAACTATCCTCCCTAAACTTAGATTCTTTCATTTTTCAGTTAAGGCATAGAGCATTGGAATCCCAGGGAGTTTTCGGATATGTACAAATGCTGATATTTGGACCAGAAACCAGTAAGCTACAGACGAAAACTTTGTCAAGAGTCTTCTTTTCAAAGCAGGAAGAACCAAAAGACGGCCGAAGTCAAGTTTAACAAGAGAACAGATTTCCATTGATTCAAAAGTTGCCTTTTTGCTTGTCTGAACTGCTTTTAGGAGCTTAATCTTTGATATCCTTCTCAAACTACTGTTTGTTTTGTTTTTTTGTTATTTTTTCCATATGATATCTTAAAATTATCATGACTAGCTATGTGAGAAGTTATTTTTAATCTAAGTATTTTCTACTGAGAGGATTTGGGCGTTACATTTACTTCGAAGTTGAAACGTCTTTTCTAGAGTTTTTTTACAGAGTTTTTCTTAATCTGTTTAGTCTCATGAGTGATATAAAGCTATTACAGCCATGTGCGTGTGTAGAGAATTTCCATAAGAATTGGAGAATAATCAGTTGTCCGATTGCTCGATTATCTTAGTCTATGTCAGATGGAAATTGTGATGAACTTTTCGAGGATTTATACTCAGTCATTGGTACTTAAAGTTAGTTTCTGCCGATCAGAATTCGTTTGATCTTAAAACGACTCAAAATGACAGATTTTGGCCGTAATGGCAAGGATTTAGTCTGGTATTAGTTAATTTTCTGAGATTTCTCTTTTAATTTTGAAGGCGATAAATTATGTTATTTTTTACAAGCAGAACGATACATTTTAAATATATTGTTTAAACTAATCGTCCAAAGGCAAAACGAGAAGTTTTACTTTATAATTTTAGTTATGGCTTACAAACAATTGATGGAGCTCAGAACGAGCTGGAAAGTTGGAGCCAAATGATTTTATTTAGATTCTCTGATAACAGTTTTTACCTACTATCTAAGTACAATAAACTAACATTTAAATGTCAATCAATGAAACAAGCCGCTTGGTATTTTGTTAAAATGGAAGAGGAAATCAATAACAAAGGGAAGAAAATTCCTGCATCAACCTGCATAAGCTATTTCTTGTCGTTTGAATTAGTATTCACTTAATAAATTTTGCCCATTTCTTTGAATAGGTTTACTGAATGAGAGATAAACTTCGATATTTTCTGACTCTATAACTGCTAATATCGATCACTGGCTACCGTTTTTAAGGATGTCACGCAACGCATTTCTTTAGCACGTTATGTGACCGATAAGATGTTTTGTCACATCTTTTCGTTTGGAGTAGTGAGCGCACCTATGTCTTATTGCTCAAATTTTGCCCATTTTCTTGGATAGAGTTATTAATGAGATATAAACTTCGATATTTTCAGATTTTATATCTGCCAGTTTCATTGGCAGCCGTTCCTTTGGATATCACGCGACGCGTTTTTGTAGCATGTAAAGCGACGTGATGTTGTTGAAGAGGCAAGAAAAAAGAAATTACCTTTCACTTTGGGACATGGTGCTTTATTCTATTTATATAAAGCGTCCTCAGCATGGGAGGTACCCTAGGTCGGTGTGGTTCCCCGCGTGTAGAAAATATTTATGATCTTTTTTTCCACTATTGCAAACTTAACTAAAACAGCCTGTTAAAAATACCAAAACTTTCTTAAAACTGAGGGCCGACCAAAAAGAACTTTTTACGGCTAATGGTTAAATTGTAGCCATTTTTCTACTGCCGCTAACCCAGAATAACACTAAATAAGACTTATTATAAGACAATTTTAACGCCTAAAACCTAGTTTTCGACCGGTTTACGGCAAACGGTTAACCCCATGGAGAGCCTCGACTGGGTGACATGCAGGATGTGAAATAAAAACAGTTTAAGAAGGTGGCATTTGCAACTCAAATTTAGAGTGCTGGCTTTTGAGGAGTAAGGAAAACCGGGAAAAACAAGCCGTGGAAAAATGCTGGAAGTAAGGATCAACCTGAGAGAGACGGGCATGGGGAGAGCGTTGTCGCTACGCAATCTGAGATGCTTAATGAAGCTGACGCGAGATATTCACCGAAGTGAGGGCGAGCAAGGATAAATTTCCTCCCCCCTTTAAAGACCTTGTACCGGATCCAAAAAGCCAGTAAGCCCTGATATTTTGACTTCCCCCAGATCTAAAAAACTGCGACAACGTAAATGTTTCGTCAGAATATCTCTACTGACGATAGCATACATTACAATCATTTTAAAAAGAGCCATGGGAAGGGGGGAACGGTGGGTCGAGGTTCCATTTTTCCCCCGGGTTGGGAGTGTAAACAGCTACGTGGTTAGAGGACGGATTCTCATGAATCTTAGAGCTACGATTTCAGAAAGTAAAGACAAGAATTTCCCTGAGTAATTGTTGGACTTAAAGTTCTTTCTTCTTCTTAGAATTTCTCTTCGTGCTTCATAACTCTACTCCATCTACCCACCTTAGAGCGGTTTTTTATAATATACCACAGGCGAATGGAGCTAATTTGGAATTCATAGTCGAACCTGTATTAAGCGGTCGGTTGTCAAATTCGCGAATTTTTTTCCTCATATGTATTGACACTTTCACTTTTCAGCGGTGGTCTCTATTAAGCGGTTGAGATCATCCTTGACTGAGTCCCATCGGCCTGTTCGGGTTGTATGGAACGGTCACTTAGGAGGAATCACTCGAATAAAAAGACAAATTCTCTCTGAAGTAAAATTTATTCCATATTTGTCTCCCAAAACCAATGTTAGTATTTATAATTCAAATGTCTTAACGAATTGCAGATTATCATCCTTCTATAGGACTGTTTGTATCTGAGAAATATTACACAAGAAAATTACACAAGAAAAATCATTTGATGGTTAATTATTAAGAGGTTAATTGTTAGAATTCTAATCTATTGTTCTGTTTTTATGCTGTACCATCATTTTGTTGATGTTTCTTGATACATTATTTACATAAACTCGACATAATTAAATGAAGAATTATGGTATTAATTAAATGTTGTTTTTTGGTCTTTTGTCGTTGACCTGTATTAAACAGTGATAACACTCAGTGATAACAATCAGTCACGTATATTTTATTAATTCAAACAGAGGAATCTTTTTTTTTCTGCTAGCTCACGTTGAGTGCTGGACTGCTGTGCAGGTAAAGGGGGTAAGTTTCTCAAGAAACTGTGGTGCTGCATCAGGGGGAGAGTATAACAGTGTAATTTTGTATTATTAACTGAGTTGATAATGTAAATTGGCCACTGTAAAGAGTTTAAAAGCTGAAGTTTTGAGTGTTAGCTCTTCATCACAGCAGTTGGGGGAATTGTGAGCTGCGTGTGTATTTATCTGCCGAAAATGGAGCCACGCTATTGGTGGGAATATGGTGACGAGAAAACAAGAATAAATTAGCTGAATGAAAAGTGTTCGTTGATACTGTGGGCATGAAAAGTGCCGATCTGAAAGATCAATCTTTGTTCTGGAGTTTTGCAGCCCTTCGAACAGCCTAGATGTAGGGAAAGAGATTATCGAGATTAAATTGTCTAGCAACAGATTTGGATGTGTTCCTGTCATTTCTTTCTATATCTCGAAGGTGTTCTTGTTGTGCAGGTAGTTGAGGGTTCAAGCCCAAGACTACAACAGCGTTCGGGGTCTTAAAATAACTGAGGAGGATGTGCTGCCTTTGCTATAACATCTCCAAATGGTTAGACATTCTAGCCTTCTCAGCTAAGGATGATAAACCATAGGCCCCATACTCTCCTACATCTTCTCAGTACTGATTAAAAGCCATGGGACATCAACCCTTTAACTCCCAGAAATGATTAACAGGTAACTTCTCCCTATAATATCCACACATTATCCAGCAAACAGGTGATGAGAATACTCAAACTAATCAGGTAAAAGGATTTTTTCTTGATCTAACAGAAAAGTTCTCATAACTGATGAATATGCAAATGTGCAGCAGCTACGGAGGGGAGAATAAATTAATAATCAGATCTTGGTAGTTAAAGAGTAAAACAACTCACAGACTTCAACAAAGAGTATGAATGCGGTTCCCAGTGTGGTCATCTGGCCTTGTTATTATTTATAGAGGCAATGTAAACCTGCTTTTAAAAGCCGAACTGAGCCAGCCTGTATAAATATTCCAAATAAATAAATAAATAACTTAATATCAAGTTTACATCCACATCACAAATGGAGGCTAGATACCCAAGGGGCTCAAGAGCTGCAACTACAGTCACACCCCAAGGTGCTAGAACACCCGACTGGCCTACCTAACCCGCAATCCAGCTGCAAGACCCTTGCTCCAAGCCCCCTCTGAGCACCTGTCACACTAGAGCCAAATGGCTCAGTGGAGGAAAACATAAATAAATGAATGAATAAATAAAACAAATAAATAGAAATAAACCCTGCACAAGAAAGCCTGCGGTTAGGGCTGGGGGGAGGGGAAAGGAAATGTCAAGAGCTGCTATCTGCAAGGACAACAATGCCACGGTATAGAAGAGCAAACACAACACAGGTACAATGAAAGAACAACGCATGCACTGATAAGGTATACCGCTGGACGAGGATGGCCCCAGGGCGCCAACAACCACGGTGCTGCTGCAAACTCTGCTGAATGCAACAAACACTGTACAGATTCTAACAGCTGGCTATGACATGAACCAAATGTTTGAAATGCTATAATTGCTCCTAGTTGTTTAAACTATGTTAAATTCCATTTAA